GGTTTTTAGTATCAACAGTATTTACAGAACTTGTCAGAGGATTCCATCATTCTTGACAATCAAGTCGCGCGGCAAGCAGTGCCGGCATGAAATCCTTCTTGCTCTCTTGATGCTTGAGGTGAGGCAGAGCACGATTCCAAAGAGGATCTCGATTTAATGCCCCTGCCAAGAGCATATCCGGCGCAAAAGCAGAACAGTTGATGCTGGCCTTGAGGGACCGCGAGCGAGTTTTTGTACTCCCCAATTACTTACTGGGGGTAGGTAGGGAATATACTGCCTATAGAATCCCCATATATCATATTCCCTTCTTCCCTAGTAAGCCCCGTAAGATCCGAGATGCTAAGGATGAGAGCATTGCCAGCAAGCTGGTCTCCGAGCTCCCCGGCCTGCAGCGATCAGCCTCCCCCTAATATTAAACCCTCCCACCCCCCTAATAGGGTTTAGGGTCCAACCCGCCTAATCTTTGATGCTCCCAATATATTGTAATATACCACAATGGGGAGAGTATTTAGTATTGGGGGGGGTGGGGGTGTTTAATATTAGGGGGAGGGGATTACTCGTAATTGCTAGCATGTGGGGGGTGTCCTTAATTTAGGCTTTGTCTAATCCTTGACGGGATGTGGATTATCTACTAAAGCTATTTGGTTGCCTTCAATGTTTTCCCTTATCCCTTACTGATCAGAAAGAAAGCAGGGCACTGAAGACACAACCTGCTTCCAATTAGACCAGTCTCAGCTAATTCAATGCCCTCGTGCTCGCAACCAAGAACGTTTCCCTCTCCTCACACAACTTTCTACCATCCAATCGTCAAGTTCAGCAAGGCTTCTGTGGACTGTTTAAAGCTCTAGTTTCCAGCGTTTGGGGACAGGCCCCTTGCATGCGCATGGCGCCCTTGGGAAACACCTGACAGCCTGTTTGCCTCAGCGCTTCTCATTCTCCACGTCGTGCTGCGCTCTACTCTCCTTTCTGTACAAACGGCCCAGACAAGTGCATTTTGTCAGACTGGCCTGTAGCTCTCTGTCTGTTTCTGCTTAAGTTGTTGCCAAAAGCTGAGGCTCGAAGGCAAGACGGTTCACGAGGCCAGCACTTGCTAACACACTTCGGGTAATACTGTAAAAAACGCAAGATCCCCATGTCATGATCTAGAGCCAGCCAGTGGTGTCTGATTTGTAGCTGGGGTCCGAGGTTGAGACCAGGATCCGTCAAGATCCACTTTTTTCCAAGCAAGTGTTTCCCTAAATAAGGGGACCCCTTACCAATATACACCCCTCAATACAAAAATCCTTGTTATGGGGACCCTCAGAATGGGTACCCCTAATTTTGGGAAACCCCCAAGTATTGCCTGCATTGAAGGCCCAGTGGGGAATAGCCAGCCATCTTGTAGCCCTGATATCATATGAGCTATAGGGTTTGGGGTTTAGCGTTCATAGGGTTTTAATTCCTTACAGGGGTTATATAGGAACATAATTTGGGGAGGGTTCTTCTTTGAGCCGCACGGGTTTTTGGAGCGCCCAGAAAAAACGGAAATTCAATGTAAGGTGAGCATGGCTGTCGTTGTGTAGTGACGCTGACCCAGCAAAGCCGCAGGTCGTGGCCGAGGGAAAGGAGAAGCTGAAGGCCGCAGATGCTGTGAGCATGACGGTAACTTCTGCGACGGTAATCAGATTTCAACGACCGCCTCAAACATACCCAAATGGCGCTTTACGTTTTAGGCTGATAGACACTACCCTTCAACCAGCCCCGGGGCTATGATGGCAGAACAGCAGCGCAGAAGTGTCGGTAGCAGTAGTAATCGCATGTCGTAGTAGGAGTATAAGCCATACCGGTTGGCACCAACTGCTGCTACTGTACTTTCCGCTGCAATGTGGTAGCATGGTAATTTTCAGTCTTTACCTAGTTTCCATGTTCTTTTCCATCATCCCTGTATAGGCCCTATATATAACCCCAATATGCTAGAGTTACTAGAGTAGTTACCATTTTCTTTTCCATCATCCCAATATAACCCCCTATATATAGCAACTACATATCCCCTATAGCCCCAATAGTATACCTACAGAATCCCTACCATCCTTACATTTTTCCATTTTACTTTCCATTATCCCAATAGAACCCCCATAGAACCCCTCTACAGCCGCTATTCTCAGGGATTCGGCGGTGGCGGCGGCGGTGGCCCGGCCATCGGTGGCGCAGGCGGTGGTGGCGCTGCCCCCGCTGCGGAGGCGAAGAAGGCCTGGAACTCTACAGAGACGGGTGACGTTGGGATCTGTGCAGTGGGGAGGATAATATAGCTATACTATTGGGGTTACATGAGGGATATATAGGGGTTATATATAGGGGGTTATATTGGGATAATGGAAAAGAAAATGGAAACTACTCCAGTATATTGGGGTATTCAGGGAAAGTCCAGGTAGGCAAGTCTGCATGGGGTGTACCTTTGGCAGTAGAGAACAGTACTTTGTATGAGTTCCTTCCCGAGTTCTGTTCTCAGGGGTGGCAGGAGTTGCAAGGAACGGCTGCATAGGCATGAATTGCAGCGTTACAGGTTTGGCGGTGTTGTAGTAGGGAGATCAGAATCCCAGAATAGAAGAGAGAGCTTTGCTATTAGCTTCCCAAGAATCATCACGTGTCCTATCTGGCTTGATGTCTGTCTTAGACCTCATAAAAGGCAACGAGATCTACACGGATTCCATTCCCTAGCTTGAGAGTTGGCTGCAGAACCGAACATTCAAGCATAACAAACCAACCAAGCATTATCATGACAGCGTGTCGCGGAGTCTTGCGAAAGGGAGGCAGGGTTCCAGTACTTGTGCCAGGGCTGCAGCTGTAGGGTTTAAGGTTTCGGGTACTTCCAAGTTCAAATAGTCCTCGGTAAGAGGGCCGCTGACGCTTGATGCTTTCTACTCATGTTTTGGCTTCCCATTGGCAGGAAGAGAAGAAGGCGCAACGGCATGGAGCCGCGGGTCCTGGGGCTAGCTAGCTTATAGTCCCCCTTAAGTAGATAGAATATGGCTTTGGGGTAGATTATAGTAAGATCCCCATATACCCCATATTCTATCTACTTAAGGGTGACTATAAGTTTTTCAGTAAGGGACAAGAAGCCCGTGAAGGATCTGTGAGTTGATGTTGGACTTGTCTTTGCTGCAGCTTACATCGCTAATCAGCAGCATCTACCTGTTGCTGCGGGCTGCTGCGTACGTGTAGATTTTTGGGATGGAGATGAGACTTGGAGGCGATCGGGTCCCGATATTCCAAAGAAGTATCTCTTGTTTTCCACGATGGCCCTGTTGAGCACAGATTTGGATTATGTACTGATTAGACAGGTTGCACCACTTGTAAGTTGCTATATTTGGGAAACCATGTTAATCACTATACATATACACACACACATATATATATGTACACACCCATTTTGGTAACCTAGAACTAAGTTACCCTACACCCTGAACACTATCAACTTAGCTTGAGTTCCCAAACAGCAACCCAGCTGTGGAGAGAAGCATTGGTCTCTCAGCTGAAGGCTGCAATGCACCTGGCCTTGAGAAGATCTAGGGA